AAAAATAGTCGGACATGAAAGAGGATAGGCGAGAAGGAAGACTAAAGAGTTGAGGACTGTGGAACAGGGAAAGAACTCAGAGGAAACGCGCTTGAATTTTAACTTGCTGTACTTTGTACAATGTCAGTCGACTACATAATTAAAAGTTAAGCCTGCTGACGACTGGGGGAATGATCCATTTAAGCCCTAGTTAACCAAAGACTGAAAGTTTGTCTCCGTCTACTGACCTTTATGTCAGTTGTAGTACAGTTGTACCAAGGTTATACATACAGCCTTGGTTAGCTGGTTAACTTTTATTTCAGCCCTCCCTGAAGCATGAAACTTGTACTGCCTAATCCAAAGTTCAGTTGTCCTCCATTGACCTCATTATCTCCTACATTTCCCAGACATCTTTTAGAGGAAGCGGCCTCAAAGTAGTCATTGTAAACACCATACATCTCAAGGCCCCTAATTGCATTCACGTTTCTCTCACTTGCATCTTTTCTTTGCGTCTAAGTCCCTCCCACCATGGATGTATGGAGGGAACGAGGAAACCATGTGAGGTGAGAAGAAACAAGGAAATATGTCTTTCAGAAAAATGAGACGTCCTTTTCTCTGAAGCTTCTGTGACTGATGGCCGTGGCAGCTGATCACAGCTGGATCCGCTGTCAGTCGGCTTCACCAGCTGTAGACACTTTTGATGGAGTTTGTGTCTGCACACATACTGTGCCAATACTAATAAAGGCACACAGTTAACAAACACCTGCGCATGAGTAACAACCTGCATTCTGTATTTATACTGTGTGCTCCTCAGATGCACAGGAATCATTTCTACTGGCAGAATGTATGTTATTTGTTTATTATTTGCGTCTGTATTTATTGATATGTCATTGTTAATTAATTATTAAATAACCCAGTATAGGTTTATGCAGGAATGATCAGCCTCTGAATGGAAATGACGATACATTATGTAAAAAGTGTTTCTTCCTGGCACATTCAAACTCTGACTTCAGTTGTATCCATAATAAAAAGTTAATGGGGGAAATATCTGCTAGTTGTTGTTCAGAACTAACTAGATATAAAACTTGAGAGTGATACTTGAGTTTAATCTATTATCTTCTTCACTCTGGTATGAAACTCCTGTTCTGTTGGGATCAGCTGCAGCGTTCAATCAATAACCAATATCCAGTAAAGGGAGTGTGTTGTCCGGTAAAAGACTTCTGTGAAGTCTGCTCTTGTGTATTCTTGCTCATGTCTACTCAGAACAGAAATGGTAGCTTTGAGACAACCTTCAAGATGCTGGACCAGAAAAGACTTCTGGTTCGAGCAAGTAAAGCTCAAATAAGAGACTTGCACCCACAGTGTGAATGTCTCCTGCTGCCATCTTGGTGGCACATAAAAGTTGACATTCTTATCGCTATGTATCACTTATTAGGGCATTGGCACACTCATAGTTACAGACTTTGGAAGAAAACCAGCATCTGTTTTGTTACCGTGTTAACATTTTGATCAAAATGTACTTTTTAGTTGCGATGAGTTTTTATTTATAGTTTTTAAACAAATACACTGCTGTGGAAAGTTCCAGTTGGCAGTTACTCCAACACGTTACCCTTCATTGGTGATGCAGTTGTTGAGGAGCCTTGATAAGTTCATTCATTCATTACACCTGTGGGGTTTGAAGGTTTTGTTGAGAGAGGCTGTTTGAGAAATCCTTGGAGCACTGACAGGTTATCTCTCTGACTCAAAGGCAATGAGTGTATAATAAGACATATATATATATATATA